TTATTTATTTATTTATTTATTTATTTTCTTTTATAAGCCCCTCACGACCCTTGCTCAACCACCCTCAGAGACGAATCCAACGAGCTTTTGTACCGCTTTCTCTATTCACCGGGACTATTCGCTCGAGACGTTCGAGACTCGCTGTTTCCTTCGGTCGATCGGACAATTGTTCTTCAAAGAACGATACACCAGCAGTTCTTGTTGCTGAAGATGATAAAAGTCAGGGTTTCCGGTTCGTTGAACTGGAACTGAGACGAAGTATAAGATTCGGTCTACGGAGCTTGATCATAAGCGACTAGCTCTGGACGACTCTACCCGGATTACAGGAAGCTTCAGCAACGTCGAGTACAAGATTATTTCTTATTATTAATTAACGAGATCGCGTTGATCACGAGCGTTAGCAATGTATCAGCGAACGAAACTTCGAATATTGGACTTTTTTATTATGGAACTCAGAGAGTCGTCGCTGTATAACATTTTAAATCGTTATGTCGCCTTCCGACAATTGCGTTTGTCACACTACCAGTGGTCGTGGTACTCATATTAAATGTTCGATGCTTCTTTATTCAGTCTTCGACCGGAAATTAAGCATAAACGGAAATCAGACCGTCGTTTCGTCATCGAGGAAGAAGCGTGAATACATAATCGAGTCCCTCGTAATCGATAGATATTAAGAATTTAGATTTCATTGTCTCTTATACACGTTGAATTATATGTCGGGGTACAATTTTTCTATAATTTTACAATCATTTTCTGCAAGTTAGAAATTGTCATATATCTACTTATCACCAAATCCCAAGAGAGACAAAACAGATCGTGATCGACAAACAAAATTCGTGTATGCACGACACAATTTTTGCAATAAAAATGCTTTTAAATATGGATGAGGCAAGTATTTCATTAACATTGCAATACACGTGCGACACACTTGTGATTCATCAAATCAGACGTCGGACGTTCGAATTCTTTTCATATCACAAGCAGTCGATAGCAGTCAATCATTTCTTGCCCCTGAATGTCACTCTTAAAATTTAACCTGACCAATATTCCTATTAAGCCTCATTGGATATCAAGGTAACAACAATGAAGAAAAAATAGCTACCACGTATAACTACAATAATCAAACCAACATTGAAAAATATGTAGGCACCACATTACATTCGTTCGTTTGTAATAAATGCCTGTGATAACATTTGGCAAATTTTTTGAATAACTTTTCAAATAAATATAAAAATATAGAGAGGCAAACGTTAACAGAAGAAGTTACCGCATCGTGAGGAATGAAAAATACTTGGTGTTCGCGTATAATTAGCAGCCGTAGAGTTTCCTAGTCGCGACGTGACGGTCGAGGTAGTTCGCGAGGAGGGAAAGGAGGACTCGGTGGAGGAAAGACGGAGCAAACAACGAGCCAAAGAGGGAACAAGAAAAAGGAAGGGGCAAAGGAGAGAGGGCCACTGTCACTGCCAGGGCTACGGTGAGGTAATATCAGATTCCATGCCACGAGGCACTTGGCCGCCATCTTGGTATACGCTGTTCTCCAACGCGACTCTGTCGTTCTTCCACCCAGATTCCTTTCGATTCGTTCACCGTGATTCGAATTGCACAATTCCGCCTGGCTTCTTATGTTCTTTTAATCTCTTTGCAGAGAACTTTGGGACGTTGAGTTAAGATATTTCATTGTAATTCTGATATATTTATGGCTTACAGGTAACTTCAAAGAGGAATTTCAAATTGCTGTGTGAACTCATTGCCGAAAAGAAAACGAATTAGACTGACATTAGATATCTATTTTACGAGAAGAAATAAGCAAATCGAGAACTCGTTATCCTTGCAATTAACAAGAATAGAATATTTATGACTCGTTCGCGATTTGTTTAACAAATGAACGCCAGTTATAATTGGATAAGACACTGATATAATTTTAATTTCTGCTTAAGATGAATGTCTCAATATAAATATCAGACGTTATTAACCTGAAGAGAAAATATACGATACATCGGCTGAGACTGAATACTCGTCGGTGGCGAGAAATATAAATTAACTAAATAAAATATCCAGTATTCGGACTGGTCTTAATCAGCCGAGCAACTGGAAATTAGGATCTAAAATTAACTTCGTCAATTTCGTAAAGAGTGAAGAAGAAAATAATCCAAGTCTTAAGAGAAAACTGGCTATTGCAAATATATATAAGGAATAAGGGACGCTCGGTAGACAAGCAAAGAAGGAGACAAATGTTGGTAGCCTGTGGCGGCACATAGGAAGAGGAGGGACAGAAAGGCAGCAAATGAGAATTAGGAACGAGGAAACGTAATGGTCGTTGTTTAGCTAAGAGAGGGCGATGACATTTGTCCGAAACGAGGTTCCACGTAGCAAGCTTGTTTGTCCCGACAACGGAGTTGTAGCCTTCGCTAGCTCACTAGGCTGGTATTCGTCTGGTTCGAGCAGAAAGACCGAGAGAAAGAAACAGAGTGGCAGACAAAGAGGCACGTCCTAGGGACGAGGAAGGAATCTGGTGGCAGAGAGGGAATGAAGAAGAGACGATGCAGAAAGAGAGGGGAAGGGAGGAGACGTCGCAGGACGTTCACCTTTCCTCTATGGGCTTGCAAGAGTCGGCTTCAGCCGCCATTACACAATCGTTGAGTTTGCTTGTCCGCTCCTCGGCCATGGCCGCCATGTTGGTACCGGTCGGTGCGTCAACTACGGTGCAAGATCTTCACGGTGAAGGTCTCAAGAGTTCCATAGACGGGCACGCTATGCCCGTGGAATGTCTCTTTCGTTTTACGTTATGTAAAATTCCAGTCGATGATCGCGTCGATATTATCCGTAAATATAACGAGCAAACGATCATACTTCTTTAAATATTCTCACGGGTTGAGACAGGTTAAATGGTTAATTAATCACGCTTCGAAGTAATGGAAACGTTCAGAAATAGATAGAAAATACTGTCACAGTCTCAATTATAATTAACTACGATCAAGACAGCAAACGTGAGTACGACAATAACATGTCGAAGACTCGTGGAAAAGAAGAAAAATTAATTATACCGCTATTACGAAAATAATTGTAACCTTATAAAGCGAGTCCATAGTTAAGAGTCGAGCAAATCGGTGCGCCGTAGAATTACACGATTCTGCTTTTAAGCTACCGCATCGAGAATTTGTTAAGATCACTCTCTTGGTATATATAGTGGTATATATAGTTTCTACAGTATTGTAAAATCACGATACGTCAATGCGAGCGTAATTCCAAGAAATGTATGGTTTCTCATTGCTGATTTTTACAACAATTATTTCGATTCGTGTTTACACTATTTTGTCGAGTCAAATGAACGAGTTTATAGTGCAGAGAGGAGGTTGCGCGATCATCCGGCTGAAAATATCGTGGGAGATTCGAACGCGTGGATAGAACGGATAAGTCAGGAGCGCGTAATACGTATGGTCAGCCCACGTACTATACGTTCACGTCTATGGACAACGACACGTTCATATCACGTGGCAAGATTACGAAACGAAAACCTGCTACCAAAATTTAGTGTCGACATCGACGAACTTTTCTCTTGGATAAGAAACAGGATAAGCTTGGAACAACGGTCCTAAGCATTACACCTAGCAAGATAAAACCCATCAGACTAGAATCGTTTAGTTAAAAACTCTGAAAAGAGGTTAAGTAAATAAAGTTTATTTTAGAGTAGGAATTTTTAATAGTTTCTAGGAATCTCAAAGTACGACTAATATAAGTATTATCTAAAATAATTAATATTGATTTACTGCACCAGAATTCGGAAATGCAAAAATATTCAAGAAATAAGATAAAAAATATTTTGATAAAAAGATTTGTTAAGAAACAGTTTGTGATTTGTTCTTCTTCACCACGTTGCGGTGTGTTATATATAGATTCTTCGACTTTGACAGGTTTTATTTTACTAGAATTCGTAAGAAGCATTGAATTGGTATCCAACGAGCGAACGTACTAACTCCGCTCTTGTTAGTCGCTACGTTGCCGGTTCTACAAATTGCGAAATTCCTCTGCGTCTACCTGTCGGCCATTCTGGATATTCTCCCAAGTATCTCAAGCGAGTCTACGACCATAAATTTCAACGACTAGGCCAGTGCACTGACCTTGCTATAAAGTTATTTAAAAACAAAAAAAGATTTAACCATCCCGTCCTTTCTTTTGAAACCGCAGTCCTATCTCAAATCTCATCACAATACATGAGATTCCAACGTACAGAGTATTTCAACATTTTCATTGCTTTTAACAAACCATTGAATTCTATCGTAAGAAGTCACTCCAGAATATCAAAATCATCGAGATATAAAAATTCAAGCGACATTAATAATTTTCCTGAAAATAGGACGTG